CAATTGCATGAAAAGGAAAAGAAACGAACAGAGCCAAAAATAATATAAAGCAAGCAAACAATATATGCAAGGCAATTTTTTTAAGCGTTTCACCCAAAGCAAGGCGGGAAGCCGCCTAGCACGCAAGGGGTTACAGAGAGTTGGAACGAGAGTAAATAGGAGTGATAGAGGAAAAGATGAAGAGAAGGCATCTGGAGACGTCGATTGACATTACATTTGAAAAATTGGAGATTATAGCTATCAGGGAAACAGGAAGAAGGAAGGGAGTTCCACAGGCGAGAGGTGCGAGACCTGAAGCTATTGGAGTAAAAGTGACGGCTACATTTAGCAGTTTCGACAGTGAAAGGGTGAGAGCGAGGATCCAAGCCTAGTAGAACGCTTAAATTCATTAAGTCTGCGAACCAGCGAAAGCAGTTCATCGGAGCAGTTACCATGGAAGTATTTGTAAAAAAGACAGAGGGAGGCGACTGCACGTCTGTGAGAGAGCGACTACAGACGAGATGGTAGATCAGGGTCAATTACGTTGCATATCCGTCTCTGGATCTTATCAAGAACCTTGAGACAAACATAAGAGGCACCAGACCATATATGGAAGCAATACTCCAGGCAAGGGCGAATGGTTGATTTGTAGATTTGAAGGATCGACTCCGGCGAGAAAGATTTCCTGGCGCGGCATAGGGAGCAAACTTTCCTTGTGGTGGACGAAGCTATTGACTCAATGTATTCGTTTCCTCTCAGGCCAACAGTCAATGTGAGACCGAGTAGTAATAAGACAAAAGTTCACGAACTGAGAAATGGGGTTTGCAACAAGAGCAAGTTCGGGTAAGCGAACGTAGCGTTCTGACTTCAAGACAAGACGGACCGGGACTGAGTCAGATGAAACCGAGAACTGACCTGTTTATTGACAAGCAAGAAATCCCAGTATGCATTTGTGTGCTTCTGCCTATAAACCACCGATTGCATATAATCTAGAGCAGTGACTCTTTGCCCAGTGCACTCTTTTCACAATCTTTTATATATATACTAGCAGTAGAGCCCGGCGTTGCCCGGGGATGTAACAGTAAGAGATAGATCAAGTATCGATTATCATAAAGACTGAAAAATAAAATTGACAAAGATTATTGTTTAAGGTCGACGGACACGCACGTCTTAATTAGTTTTTATTTGTTTTTTTTGTGGGTTTTTTTACGAATTGGTCAAACCCAAACTCAAACAAAAACATTGTTTTCAATCGTTATGAGTCTACTGATTGAATAGAATTTTATTATAAACAATTGTCTTGTAAACGGAATTTTTAAAGCATACTGAATGTAAAAATAAAGAAAAAAGTGTGCAAGACAATAAGAAACACTACCTTCCAAAAAAGTGAAGTTTTGTTGAAATCGGTTGAAAAATGTAGGAAATCCGATTCCATATATAAACGAACACACACACACACACACACACACACACACACACACAAACAACCTGGGTTTTATAATAAGTATAACTCGATATGAGTTGTCCTCTTTTCATTCTCGCAACAGAGATGCCTCTTAATCGTGTTTTCAAATTGATTTCGTGCAAAAACAATTGTGTTTTTCCAATTTTTGGCGCTGTCAGAACCACCGCAAAATAATTTTACGTAGTCCTGTGAAGTTTTGTTGAAATCGGTTGAAAAATGTAGAAAATCCGATATAAATGAACAGACACACAGACAGAGAGAGAGAGAGAGAGAGGATTTTTACAGTCGTGACGGACTCAAAATTCTGTAAATAAAAAAAAAAGAAGAAAAATTTAGATTTTTCAATCCCCACAGAAAACCTAAAATTCCCGTGGGGTTAATACCCGCTGGTTGAGAAAAGATGGATTAGAAAATACGACTATAACCGCAGGGACTTTTTGTAGTCGGATGTACAAAGGTTGCTCAAATCAGTTCGTTCCTCACTCGGTGTCCCATAATTTTGTTATTATAATAAACTTAGTGAAAAACAATTTGGGGCGGCGAGCATCATTTTGAAGATTAATAAATTAGTTTTGTGGATTATTAGTATTTAGATGAATTCATCAGACACTAGATGACCCAGAGTTGTGTCAGTGTGGCAGACTATGATAATCTTTCAGTGTTTCGTCGTATAAGTTATTAAGATAAGTCCATAGATGTTGGCCATCCAAGGAGAACTATCTAGTACAGTGCACCCTTTTCACCATCTGTCAGAATGTCATTCCCTCACCTTTTCAAGTTTGTCTGAGTCAAAAGTGCATTCTAAATTATATGTATATATTAATGAGAAATCTTCATTCTTTTCCATATTAGTAGATATACATTTACAGGGATTATTTTATTGAGTTTTACAAATGTAATAGCAACAGAAAATGTTGATGGATTTTAAAACCTGAATACATGCACAGTAGTCTGTTTAAATTCATAACTAATTATTAAATAACTAAATAAACTGAAGCATTTTTCAATAAACAAAAAGTTCAGTAGATTGCCAAGATATTGTAATTCAATAAAGAAAATTCTGTAAATAAATACAAGAAAAAGTCAAAGATTTAAACCTGAAACTCTGCAATTCACCTAAGTGAAGAAGATTCCCTCTGAGTTTTGAACATCTGGCCTAGAACTTTCATCTTGTCTTTTTAGCGTAGTTGATTAAAGTTTCAGAATTGGAAGAGTGAGTCTTGAGAAAAGGATGAAAATTATCGGAAGTTCACAAGGAGTCAATGCGAAATCGTTAAGGAATTCTTAATATCAAGACATACTATCCAAGTATAGTGAAGTTAGAAGCGACTTGTAGAAATAGAGATCAAAGAAAGCGAGTGAGGTCATGAGCATCCAATCTAAAATTTAACATCTCGTCAAGTAATGGATAAAAGCAGCGTTACTACAAAAATATCAAGCCATACAGTAAGAAAGCTTCCAAGTACAGTAGAAGCCCTCATATCCGGAATCCCTCATATCCGGAATCCCTCATATCCGGATATGATTTTGATGTGTATATTTGAACTGTTTGGGTAATATGTAACTGATTTGAATTTTCTGTTTTTCGGGAAATTTACTTTGGATAATTGCTAATGGCTTGTATTGGTGCAAAAGATAATGGGAATAAGAGGAAAAGAACAACTTTGGAGTTATGGCAAAAAGTGGAAATTTTAAACAGACTGTTTAAAGTTCATTGTAACTAATGGCTGAGTTCAACATAGGAGAGTCAACATTGTATGATATAAAATCTTCCAAAGAAACTATTCTTCAGTGTTCACACTGTCACAATCAACAAGGAAATAAAAAACATGAATGTGATGAAATATGGACTGAAATTGAGAAAAGGTCAGTTTTATGGAAAGAAAATTAGCATTCAGCTATGACGGTTGCAATAATGCACGCAACGTTAAAAAGTGTCTTTCTTTAAAAAAAATTTCAAGAACAAAAGCAAAACGAAATGCGGGAAAAATTGAGAATGACATTAGATGAGAAAGAATCATCATGTAACAGCGATTAAAAAATCCTCGTTACATTATTTGTTTTGTATACGTGGCATACTTAATTTAATGAATTTTCATTAACATTACATAATTTATTTCTTTTTCCTTAAAATCAATTTCGTTATATTTCACTCACCATTAGCTTATTTTGTTTATTATAAAACAGTGAAAATAAATGTTAAACCTGATTTCAGTTCTTTTATTTTAATGAAAATATAACCACCCAATATCCGGGCTTTTTAACAAATTTCCTCATAGCCGGAAGGCCTTCTTAGTCCGGTTGTCAGGGATTCTACTCTATAAAGAAACATCAACAATCATATCCGGGATCCTTCATATCCGGAATCCCTCATATCCGGAATCCCTCATATCCGGAATCCCTCATATCCGGAATCCCTCATATCAAAACTTTGTAACCAATTCCTCATATCCTGAAGGCCTTCTTAGTTCGGTTGTCAGGGATTCTACTGTAATAGTAATCAAAATGGATACATTGTAGTAAAAATGAAGCTATGAGGGAAGAACATCCAGTTAAGACAGAACTCACACCATTATAGGACCACTACCAGCTTCTACAACACACTGCTGAAGAGTTCCCTCGACTTACAAACTTAATCAAAGGGCTGAAAATGTGACTCATCTGACCAGAGAAAAAACTTTCACTTTATTACTTAATAACAACGAAAAGTTCCCACTGTATGTCCAGTAGATTAGACAAGGTGACAAGTATGGGACACCCAGGAAAGATCGAACGCAGGTACTAATGATCTGTAAGCCCAGGCGCATTGGAGTAGTTTAAAGATGCTTTTCATAAGCTAAACAACGTATTAACAAACTGGGAAATTTCGTTAGCAACAAATAAAAGAGTGCTGAAAAGTTATGTAAAATATGGCCGTGACTGCTGAACAACCTCCTCACAGATGAAGAAGAGATTTGAGGCAGCAGAAATGTGGTTCTACAGAAAGATGCTGAGAATTCCATAGACTAAACATGTGATATATGAGGAAGTTTTAAGGAAAATGGACGCTAAATTAACGTTTATATATAGAACCAGAAAGAGTCAGTTGAAATCTCATAATGAGGAAAGAGAGCTTGGAGAATTTGATACTCGCAGGACAGATTGAAGGCTAGAGAGACAAATGAAAGCAGCGAATAACCTATATAATAAGCGTGTGTAAGAATGGGGATTGGTATCATGGTGAAAAGACAAAATTTACTAATACCTACAAAGGATAGGAAACTATGGAGCGCTATCATTGCTGACGTTCTGAAAGAACACGGCATATAGAAGAAGAAGTGTAGTTTAGTTTTGGGACAAAGCATCAAGTATGGAGCATCCAATTAAGGATCGAACGCATTACTTAGTATTCATTAATATTTTAAACCAGACTAACTCGCTAACCATGATACCACGTCGAGGCGCCATGAACTCTGGGAGAGTTACATCGGATATCTGTGGGAAAACATTCAGTGAATATCACTAGATATTACTGTCTGTGAATTTACGAAATGTTGAAAGTTGCAAGGATGTTGAAATGTACACATGCATCAGTAAATTTCAAGAGTGCGTGTATTGTTTATATCTAAGTTTGTGCCTCTCTCTCTCTCTCTCTCTCTCTCTCTCTCTATCTATCTATCTATCTGTATCTATCTATCTGTCTGTCTCTCTGTGTCTATCTCTCCATCTCTCTCTATCTCTCTCTCTCTCTCTATTTCTCTATCTATCTATTTGTATCTATCTCTCTCTGTCTATATCTCTATCTCTCTCTATCTATCTCCCTCTATTTCTCTCATTCTCTCTATTCCTCTATCTATCTATCTGTATCTATCTATCTCTGTCTATCTGTCTATCTCTCTCTGTCTATCTATCTCTATCTATCTCCCTCTATTTCTCTCATTCTCTCTCTCTATTCATCTATCTATCTATCTATCTATCTATCTATCTATCTACCTGTATCTATCTCTCGCTGTCTATCTCTCTCTACCGCTATTTCTGTCATTCTCTCTCTCTCTCTCTATTTCTCTCTCTATTTATCTATCTGTATCTATCTCTCTGTCTATCTATCTGTGTCTATCTGTCTATCTCTATCTATCACTCACTATTTCTCTCATTCTGTGTGTGTGTGTGTGTGTGCGTATGTGTGTGTACGCGTGTGTCTACGAGTGTGTATTTGTTTGCCCAACAAATTTATTTTTTTATTCATTTTTGACTAATTGTCTTAATTCTTATTTTTGTTGCATTTTGTCTTTAAATAACGTGTAGGAAATTCTATCGTTCATGTTTTTTTTTATATATATAAAAAATCCGAAAGTCAGAATTGCAAACAATAATAAAATAAAAATAATGAAAACATGATCTCATGCCTTTTAAATAAATCAATTCTATTCAGAAAGATATGTACATGAATTCAAAAAGAAGTTAAAATAGTCTTTAGTTGAGTTAAAGTCTTTGGGTAGTTGGTGCACAGAAAACTCTGGGGTTTAAACAAGATAGTTGAGCTACAGAATAAACGCTGTTTTTGAAAAAAAATTCTATCGTCAGCGAAAATTCACTGACCGTCTTTATTGTTGTTGTTATTTGAGATGAATTGCTTGAAGTCACCGACTGGCCGTCCATGCTGTTGTTGATTCGTTTGAAGTCGCCTGCATATGTTTTTTTTTCAGCGTATGCGCTGTGGGGAAAGAAGCTATGTTGCCACGTTGGCTTGGAGACCGTTGCATCTCTATTCTTTTGTGTTTGGCTTGGAGGAAAACCGCTTCTCTGATCTTTGAAAGTCAAAAATACTGAGTTTTTATAAGAATTTTTTCCCGAAAGTAAGGTCGAGGAAATATGGCTTTAGTTATCGCTGATTGGTCAAATATTTCACATAATGATGTTAATTTTTAACCAACAGACACTTTGATTTAAACGGCGTATATTGTATTGTGGAATCTATTTCGCAATTTTGTAACATTGTCTGCCATTGATTAGAAAATAAATTTTGACAGTGTTTTAATATGGTATATCTGGAATTCAATAAAACAGTAGATTATGGAGAATATTTTCTTAAATTTTTAATATTACTGAGTACTTAAAAGGCGCTCTCGTTATAGTCTTCAATTATTTTTACGGTTAAAGCTACAGTAGACCAACATTAGATAAAAATCTTTGTCATCGAGCTGTCATTGAGCTGCCAACATAAATAAATAGTAGTGTTAAAACATGCCTTTCTACAATATTTTAAACTTAAAGTAAATAATATTTGTTTCAAATCAGATTATTTATACTTTAAATGATCTAATATTCCTCAAATAAAGTTTCAGAAAGTATATTTTATTTTTAGAAGATTTTTTTAATAAAGAGAAATATATTGCGATGAAAGACGACTACAAAAGGGCTCTAATCAGCTATCAGATATTTCAGAAAAAAAAATGAAAATCTAATCAATATAATGTCTCTTTGAAATATATTTTACAAATAAAGTCTCTGTAGAACAACAATAAACCTGTGATCACCTTGTCATGACTTGTCATCATTCGTCAAATACATAAATATAGCTACTGTCGGTTGAAAATACATCTACTGCTTGCTTTAAAAATGCATTTCTGTGTTATCTTAAACTTAAAGTAATTAATATTTGTTTCCAATCAGATTAATTATACTTTAAAGGATCTAATATTCCTCATATAAAATTTCATAAAAGTATATTTTATTTTGGGGAGATTTTTTTAATAAAGAGGAATACATTGCGATAAAAGACGATTACAAAAAGGCGCTAATTAGCCATTTTAGCAAAAGAAACACTTTCCAGTTAATTTAAATTAGTTTTTGAAATAGAGCAAAGTATTTTGCTTATTAGAAAATCTTAAATTTAATCTCTCAGCTTGAAATTAAAACTAAAATAAAAGCTTCAAGTAAGATTTTTTTAATTCATTTTAAACATTAAGTATCGCGTTTTCTGTTGTGGCACCAATTTAGTATATATATGGCGATGTAATTGTGTTGGAAATAGGGTTTATTTCCTATATACGTAACGGTAGTAGATTGTAAAACCTCCTGAATACAAAAATAAGATGAAAGAAAACTAACCTCTTCACTAATATAGAAAAGAATTCATTGGAGAAATTCGGAGGACTTAACATTATTCATACCTACGACTCTACGACAAAATGGAAACAAACAACTGATAGAAGTTAACTAGTTAAACCAATGCCATTTTTATGACGGCATATTTTATTCAGACTTTCACATGTGACTCATTATATTCGTCCAACTGTTATATTGATATGTTGCAATCCCAGGAGGGACTTGTTCATTACTTAATAATAACAGAAAACCACTCCCACAATACATGTTTAGTGGAATCTACATTATTTACATTATTTGGACTATTGTCCACAACTTTGTCGCCATATTTATTACAACGTTTCGACCGTTGTACGCTCCGGCCTTCTTCAGGTGGTCGAAATGTCGAACTGAACCCTTTATTTCGCTCACTGGGATAGACTGTTCCACGTGCCATATGGATAAAGGAGTTAGTTAGATCCAGTGACAAGCCTACAGTTGTTGATTGGCGCGCTTTTTTACTTTTTTTTTTTTTTGAAGAACACTCACTCTTGGTAAGACCTACGAAAGGAACACTTGCATAACCAGCCAGCTCTACACCGTTATCACCACAGAGTCCGTAGATAGCGAAAACATCAACTCTTCTTCAGCAGATAAGTTTGGTCGCAGACACCATTAAGTTTGTAAGGACGCATTTGTAATATTGTTTAATACAATTTGTATAAATAAGAGGTCAGTCGCGTTTTATTCTTTATTTATTATAACGACTGAATTTACCACGTGGGAATCTCATATGGGGCCCATTTCAATTTCCCATAATAGCTTGGGTATAATGCGACCCCAGCTTCCGAGAAATAGAAATTGGTCTACTGTAGTCAAATATTGCAGTACTGGGCATCATCCTGGACATATTTTGTAGCAAATAAATGGTCTTCATTATTTTTTTTTTGCATCAAGCTACCCCAAAATAATAAGAAAAACCACTTACTATATAGTTAATATCTACTAAAAGAAGTTTTCTTTTTCTATCACAAATAACTTATTTATCTATGGTTAATAAATGTTCAGTAAAAATCTATTTTTTTCGGTGGATCGAATATAATTTCTTCCTGCGTCTAGGTACGTTAATACTTTGTGTATGATTTATATAAGAAAAGTGGGATAAGTTTTTATAATACCCTTTTCTCGTAGAGTTTGATTAGAATTCCTTTCTTCAACAATGTTATAGACACTGCAGTTATTTTTTTTATGATTTAAGGTGAAGTCTGTTTCTTCAAATCCTTCGTCACCAATATGTTGTGACAAAGTAAATGGTTAAAGAAATAACAAAATAAGTGTTGGAGATATATCATATATTAAACATAAAGTACAACAGAAGAGTATTACACGACTAGTCAGTGTGTGTCGGTTGACACAGCGTTCAATCTATTCGACTGTTCCCCCAAGGCTTTCTCTCCTACTAATTTTATAGTAGGAATCAACGTCTACATTTACCACGTGAGAATCTTAGATGGGGTCCTCTTCAATTCCTAATAAATTATTATGCCTTCTGCTTATGAAATTTATTTATGTTTTTTGTTTTGTTTTTTGTTGTTTTTTGTTTTTTGGGGGTTGGGTAATCAGCAACATAATCTGAAAATTAACTCTTTTTTAACGAGTGTGTAAAAAAAAAGTCCTTTTTAAACTAGAATACAGATAAAAGGGGTTAATTTATTCATTCATGACTCTCCACAGGTTCCTTTTCTTTATTATCTGTGAATTAATAAACATTGTTAGAAAAGATAAAAGAGTAGTTTTTCGTTGCCTTTTCCACGGTTTGAAATTATCTTAGCATCTCTACGGTTTTCTTTCTCTTATGCTGGTTGTCATCCAATGCTAAATGGTTCCATTCTTTTTTGCTATTTATCTAATCAATGAAACGAATGCCTTTCCAAAGAGCATTTATACGAAAATGGACGCAACAAACTAGTCAAGAATTAGAACTCCGCACTCCTAATTCACTTTAGGCGCTGATATTATTACACGACTCGCACATCTTCTTGGACCTTATTAACCATGTTTATTATATATATATATATATATATATATATATATATATATATATAAAAGTGAACACTGAAGTCAACACTTAGAGGCAACAGTCTGTTTCATGCTAGACGCAATCGTCAGGCCACGAGTGCTGTTATTTTTCTCGGCTATTTATATATACGGGCCAGTGGTGCATTGTGGATAGGCTATTTTGGCGGTTATTTCAACGGAAGTCGTTTATTTATTTATTTGGGTTAAATTATTTTGCTTGTCATTATATATTTTTTTTTTATTCTTATTTTTTATCTTATATATTTATTTTTATTTTAATCGGTATTTTTATTAACGCAGTAAAAAAAAAATTATATCGCTTATTTAATAATTTGTCTTTTCTAACGGTTAATTTATCGGGATCGGTTAAAAAACGTTACTTTAAAATCGAAAACCGAAAAGAGTAAATAAAAATATACTACTGTCTAATAAATAAATAATAAAAAACAAGTAAAATAAATTAATCTAAATTCATCCAAATAAACAAACTAACAAAAACAATCCCGATAAATTAACCGTTAGAAAAAGCAAATAAAGATAATCAATCCAAATAAATACATGAAGTAACAAACAAATTAAAAACTGCTCCCACCAAAATAATAGTTAGAAAAAACTACAACAATCAATCCCAAAATTGAATAAATAACTTTAATTATCTTCCAAAACTAAAAGAAAACTATTAAATGTTGACTTCAATGTTCACTTTTATATTTACACACGCTCTATCTCTGATATTGAGCACTTTATCCCATAAATATAGCACACCTTAAGACTATATTTCTTCGTATATATATATATATATATATATATATATATATATATATATATATATATGTATGTATTGGACATGAGTTTAGTAACAAGTGAGAGGAAATGAAAAAGAAAGACTGTGATGCGTCTATCTTCCGAAAGTGTAAAACCTACTAGACTTTCAAAATCCTAGCTTTTTAACCCGTGTTCGGCGCCGACGACTAGCACAGATGGGAAAAACGCAGAATAATCAAACACTAAGTAATGTACATTATGTATGTGTGCGTGTGCGCGCATATTTAAATTTTACAATATATATATATATATATATATATATATATATATATATATATATATATATATATATATATATATATATATATATATGACTACTTAATTTGCCTGGTTTTTTTCTTTTTATTTTTTCTTTTCTTCTTTCAACGTCGGGGAGAAACATCTACAAATTCCTCCACTCCTAAGTAATTCAGAAGTAATAAGAAGAAAAACACGGAAGACCTAACTTCACAGTTGGTCATGTTGTACCAATGCGCATGAAAAAGTAGGTCCCTATATTGGCGCAACGCTAACATTTCAAATTAATTCTAACTGGCTGATTTCTGATGAATGAATAGAAAATCTTGACTCTTATTTGTTTTGTTTTGTTTGTTTCGGTTTTTTCTTTCTTTCTTTCTTCTTTTTTTCTTCTTCTTTTTACGCAATTAACGAAACTCTGACACAACAAGGACGAGTGAAACTTTTCGTTGCCTCGATTTTGACCCGAGCGAAAAAGATGGAAAAAGATAAAAACAAGAATCAAAGATAAAAAGGAAATAAAATATTTTGACCGTATTTTGTTATAATTTAATAAACTGTCTTGAATTATTCATTCATACTTTTTTTTCCAGTTTATTATATGCACGTGTGGCAGCGTGTATGGTTTAATGGATCCAACGCGGGTGACTTAAAGTAAAAGATCAAAACCGTTTATTAAACCGTTCGATTGTTTTGACAAACGTGGACTTCTTTAAATTTAACGCAGGAATATATGTGCAAGGGCTTCAAGATCCGGTTAAGACAGCATTTGCAGGGATCTGACACTACCACATAATAAGAGGAAAATCAACAAAACCTAGAAATATCGTAAGGTGTTGGTTGAATACATTGGTTAAGGATAATGATGTTTCTGTTAATGATAATGATGTTAATGACAATAATGTTTCTGATAATGATAATGATTGTTTCTTTTAATGATAATGATGTTTCCGTTAATGATAATGATGTTAATGATAATGATGTTTCTGTTAATGATAATGATGTTTCCGTTAATGATAATGATGTTAATGATAATGATAATGATGTTTCTGTTAATGATAATGATGTTAATGATAATGATAATGATGTTTCTGTTAATGATAATGATGTTTCCGTTAATGATAATGATGTTAATGATAATGATGTTAATGATGTTGGAATGTTATTGACAGCAGACCTTCGTACGCCTGACAAGAAAGGTTCACAGTTGGATCGAGGTTAAGAGAAAGTGCTGGCCAACTCATAATTTCAATGTTGTGATCCTGAAACCATTGTGCCGTGCTGTGCTTTAAGTCCAATGGACTCGAGCATTGCCTTGTTGAAACTTCCATCTGGCACCAAGAACTTCTTCTGAATAAGGGATCTATGCACTAAATAAAATACGTTGATATCTGACAGAATTAAGCTGACTCTCAAGGCCAGGAAAAAACACTGTGTCTTGTAAAACTCTAAAATCAACAGCTGTTGAATTCGCCAAAACAATAAATGATGTGGAAGAAAGAATTGAAGTCTGTGTAGTTGTTAGACGAAAAGAAGTTCAATTTACATGGTCCCGATTGATTTGCATCTTATTGGCATAATTTGCGCAAAGAGGTCATTATGTCATTTTTCTCAGGTAGGCCCATGAAAGTCGTTGTGAATGCTTAGTCTTCTAAAACTCATGTGATCATTGCAAGCATTACACAAGGATCTCTTCTCGCCCATAATTATATTTCTGCTTTTCTTTTTAACGATTTAGCTGGGAACATTCTCAGATCATTAGTAAATATCTATGCAGATGATACCACAGTTTATGGAAGCATCTCAAAAAATCAAGATGTTCGTAGAATTGCAGCTGATTTCTCCTATGATCGAGCTCTAACAGCTCAATGGGGAAATAACTGGTTTGTAACTTTCAATCCCTCAAGAAGAAAGCTAGCATCATTTTATACTCACCAATCAAACCCTGAACATTTGTACTCTGAAAAAGGGTCCTAGGCTATCAATTCTCAAGATAGCAATCCATATATATATATATATATATATATATATATTGAATTTTATATTTTAATCTGGGATATATAAACTAATCATAACTTGCAAAGCCACAGTTAAGGATTACTGGTGAATCTCAAACACACTTTTTTATTTCTACGTTTCTTCAAAACTCATGCAATGATCCTCCTCCACAGGTTTCTTTCCTTTATTATCTGTGAATTACCATGACTTTTTAGAAAAGACAGTTGAGTGGCTTCCTATTGCATTTCCTGTGGTTTTGAATTGAGAAAATTTTCTCCTAGATTGGCTTCTGTTCAAGGATAAAGATCCTCATCCTACGCTACTATTTAACCTATAGTTGGGGAGATATGACGAAATTATGTCATTCATAAGGTCGTTTGTGCAAAAGTGGGCGCAGTAGACTAAGCGAGGTTTTGAACCCGGCTCTTCCGATCCGATGCAGATAACACCCCCACCCCACCCCAAAAGGAAATAACTGCCCTCCCATGCTAGTTAGACGGTATACTGGCTTGTTAACCATCTCTCTCTCTCTCTCTCTCTCTCTCTCTCTCTCTCTCTCTAACAATCAGACGTGTGTGTGTGTGTGTACGCGCGCTTAATATATGGGAATGTGTTGGGAACGAGAAGGCTTCTTTCGGTTTTCGCCTACGATTCTGTCCTAGATTTTAACCGTTTTTAAAAGACATGAATGAATTTCAGAAAAAAATGCTGAGAGTTTGTTTTGTTTTTTAAATTTGTAATGTAATATATATATATATATATATATATATATATATATATATATGTCAAGAATTGATTACGATGGAAACACCAGATAACCTCGAAAAACATCCCTTAAATTTTTTTTAAATATTATTCCTCTCCTTCTTTCTCGCTTTCTCTCATACTCTCACACACTTTTCTTCTTCTTGCCGGATTGCCTTATCTCTCTCTCTCTCTCTCTCTCTCTCTCTCTCTCTCTCTCTCTCGTTGTTTGTTCTTCTTTCGCCTTTCTCCTAGTTTCCTCTCTTCCTTTTCCCTCTCCTTCTTGCTTTCTTATCTCTCATTTTCTCTTTCATTTTCTCTGTCTTTACTCCCACCCTTACTCACTTATCTTTCTACTCTTGCTCTATCCTTTTATTTCTTTTTCTGTCACTCCCCATTTCTCAGCATTTTTTTCACTCTCAAACAAATCCTTTTCTACTCTATTTTTTTTCTTTCTTTTTCTTTCTTTTCCTACTTTTAACTTACCTCTCCCTTTGTCTCTCTGTCTCTCTTTCTCTTTTCGCTTTCTGGGGAATGACCACTTTTCGAAATCATACAAGAGTCCGCCGTAATGACTTGGACAAGTCCACTTCCTTGTAAATACACTCCTGATCAAAAATTTAAGACCACTTGAAAAAATTTTATAACAGACTGTTTGTCATGGATACATTATAAACTTTTTCTTACATAAGGTTACTAATTCTATAATCTAAAAGGTTATGTAAACAAAATGTTATAATCCGATCAATTTATTCAGAAATGGACATTTTTATAAAACGAAGCGTTTTAGAACTTGATCAAAATTATAAGACCAGTGGGTATAAATTGTTAGATCTAGGGTAATTCCAATGTTTTTTTATCTCAGTTAGAGATTAGCAATCACTGCGTAAAGGTGTCACCGTGCCTAAAGCAAGCAAACTTACCGAAGTTGTGTGTGCTCGAATTCTAGATTTCCATAATCAAGGTTTTCCACAGCGGCCGATCACAGCTAAGGTAAATCGCAGTAAAACTGTGATTTGCAACTTTCTAAAGAACAGTGTGAATTATGGAAACGCAAAGTCTACTGGTAGGCCCCAAAAATTTCTCCGGCATTGAGTAGGAGAATAAGACGGGTTGTTGTGAAAGCCAGTGGACTTTCTTCTAGCCAAATTAAGGCAGCCACAGATGCTGATTGCAGTCCAGTAACCATCAGACGACACTTACGACAAAAAGGCATGGTAAATAAAAAGCGCAAATTCCTCGGCTGGATTCCATGTCACAAAGTGAACCGTTTAAGGTTTCGTCGTGAATACCAATCATGGGACATTGAGAAATGGAAGAAAGTCCTGTTTTTTTATGAGAAAAAATTCAATCTAGATGGTCCTGATGGCTTCCAACGATATTGGCCTTCTGAAATTTTCTCCACACGTCATAGTGGTGGAGGATCCCTAATGGTATGGGGTGCCTTTTCTTACAGAGGGACGATGGAACTCTAGGTGGTGCAGGATCGTCAGACAGCGGCTGGTTATGTTAGTATGCTACAAAAGCATCGTTGGTGACGGAGGGCCATCGTTTGTGTGGGGATGGATGGTTATTCCAACAGGATAATGCTGCAATCCACGCTGCATGCCGGACCTTGACCTTTCTACAAGAAAATGGGGTCCATCACTTGAAACTGAAAATGTTTGGAGATGGATGGCAAGAGTTGTTTATCGAAATGGCAAACAATATTCAACAAAAAATGAACTTCGTGAAGCTATCTTTAGAAGCTGGAGCAATATTCCTCGCAGCTTAATGGAAACACTAATTTCTAGCAGGCCCCAAATAATTTTTAAAGTCATCAAAACTAGTGGAGGTAGAACTCATTATTAAATTTGGTTGTTGAATGTTTTCGTACACTTTTCGTACAATTTCGTAGATTTTTTGTCTCTGGTCTTATAATTTTGATCAAGTGTAAAACGCTTCATTTATAAAAATGTCAATTTCTCAATAAAATGTTCGGATTATAACTTTTTGTCTACATAACCTTTTAGATTATAAAATTAGTAACCTTAAGTAAGAAATGTTTAAAATTTTTCCATGAAAAACAGTCTTTTTTAAAAAAAAAAATTTCAAGTGGTCTTAAATTTTTGATCAGGTGTATACTACCATGAATTTTTTTTTATTTTATTTACTTTTTTGTGAAGTACTCGACGGTCTCTTTACATACCGCTGACCAGCACTGAACCCAAACGATCCTAATTTATTTTATTCATGTTCCATGAATTTCACCAAATATGATTTTCCTTTATGCCTTTTGTTCTTGCGCACAGATATTATTATTATTATTATTATTATTATTATTATTCCAAAACAAAAGAAAATCTTTACCAAGCCTCACCGATTCGTCATCTCGTTCCACAACTGCGATTGTTCCAATGTTTAGGTCAATGGTTCTGAAAGTCTCCTTGCGATGCGAGGTTTCTTCAACTCCCACCCCCACCCTGCATTTTGAATTGTCATCTAGGAATATTTTGTACTATTATCCACCTGCAGTGGTAAGTCACCAAACAGTTTCTAAAACTAAATTATTCTATTTTTTGTCTTATTCTAAACAAATGAAAAAGAAAATCTTATTTCAACGGAACAGGAAGTTTCTATTTGATTTAATGCCCACTTCCGGCCTTGACTAAATTTCTTACATTTGAAATTCTTCTCCTAGGAGCCAAGTGTTTCCCATTTGAGAATTCCTGGATGTCTCCGGACCACAATGGTCATTTTCAACAGGCTTCATTTTATGAATCATATCTCGGATTGAGGAATCGGGGAGCCGAGTTCGAATTCCAGTCGAATTCCATTTCATTCACTTATACCCTTAGGAAAGGTATGAATTCTCGTCTTCTCCCCCACCCTCAGCTATGGGTAAATAACAGGACAGACCGGGTTCTAGAACCTTGGATGGCAACTGGTCTGCCGCAGAAAAAAATGGCAACCTACTACGGGAAAAAATCTGCTTCGTCAGTCATGTATCGAAAGATACATGATCACCTAAACGTGTATCCCGCATGGCACATAACTGACTGATCTGTCGATCGAAACAGACATTTGAACAACTAATGACTATCGTGAAGCATTGATATTATTAGTCATTTTTGGTTTGGTTGGTTTGGTTTGGTTTGGTTTACAACATATCAAACTCAATTGCTTATTTAATGCTGACAAGACTTTAATGCTGGTAATATTCTTTTCAAAAATGTATATCTGATAAAAATGTATTGCTGGTAATAATTTTTTACAAAAATATATTGCTGGTATTAAAACCTATTTTTATGATTTTATAGTGTTTTGACACCAGTTTAGGCTTAACTATTTGCCCATAGCTGGGACCCTAACAGGTGCTACCACCCCTGGTCAGTGTAGACCTGGGAACACCAGCAATTAAGAGGGGACTATGCTCTTCAAGACCTTCTAATTAGAGGGCTTGCTGTCGGATGTAGTTTATCGTCTTACCCAGTACGCGGATGTAGTTTATTGTCTTACCCATAAGATAAACATATAAACATTGACAATTATTTTAAGACATTATTTATGTTTATACGTTCTTTTTATAAAAAATGTTTTAAATAATTGTCGGACTTTGACTATTTCATAATGTGTGATGTCATTTGTCTACATTTGGATACGCATCAAGCAGATATGAATGTATGAGAGAAAATCATGGAGAATTGTGGTTTAAAAACAGTAAAATCGACCTTGCTAACCGAACGCTCCTCAGTGGCTCAATCGGTAAAAGCACGTCAGGCTATATGACGGTTCCTTATAGGATACAGGTTCGATTCCTTTCGGAGGACGCATATTTTCTATGACAATTTCTCGGACATTCAGGTTCATAAAAAATCTATATGTTCTCATTTTTTTTATTAGCTTCCATTTTACTTTGGCTGTTTTATTTGTTTCTTCTAAATGCCAAAAATATTTGGATAGGGATGTTTGGTTGTGATACTTAATATTATTGAAGGAAGTCAGATGTTGGCTCCATCTTAATTTAAATTCATTTTTAGTACATCCAATATAAAATTTCACAATATTAGGATTCTCAATAGATGAGATAGTGCATTGGTAAGCTACAGATTCTGTGAGACATTTATTATTCAAAGAAAAGTGTCCTTTGAATAATAAATGTCTCACAGAATCAAAAAATTACTGTTGCGTGAACATTTGCAACGCACAATCCTTGAAAACGAATGTAGCGATATTCGAAAGTATTCGGGGAAAAAAGATAAAAACAAATAGAAACTTTGGCAAATTTATTGATAACATAAAACAACTATTTACATTCTTTACATTATTCGGACTATTATCCTCGTCTTCATTGCCATATCCACAACGTTTCAGCTGTTGTACGTCCCGACCTTCTTTAGGTGATTGAAATTTCGAACGCTTTATTTCGTCCACCGGCGTAGATAAGAATAACAGACCGAATAATGTAAATAATATAATCTCAGAGATATAGACAGATAGAAAACAACTAATTCGAAACATATTTGAAAAAATTCTTGCAGCTCATGTATGTATGTATGTGTGTGTATGTATTTGGGTAGCAATCGCTCTTTCATATATGTTTCATTAAAGACGACAAAGAAGGTACTGCGATTAAGCTTTTTATTTAATTTTTCTTGTGTGCGTATAAGTTATTTCTTTTGATGATATAAAGTGTATCAAAATTGTCCGAACGTTCTCTATGTCCGAGCGCTTTCGGCTATTCTTTTAGCCATTATCAAGAGTGTTCTTTTTTCAGCTGAATGTGTACATTTTTATGTATCTATTTAAAGGTATCGGGGTGTTTTTTTTTTGTTTTGT